TCGTCTCTCCCTGTCAGGCTCACCTGCAGCTCAAGCTGTGGTTCCCCCAGAGGTCGTGTGACTCATCCTTGGTCCCTCTCTACCTCCCTGTGCCCATTTCTTCTGTTGACCCCGAAATTCCTGGTGATTTCTTACACGGAGCCGTTTAACCATTTTCCCCATTCATGTGCCAGAAAGAACCCCGATGCCAGCTGGTGAACTTTTTCTGCTCCCAGTACACGTGCTTCGGCTGACATCTTGATCAGTGAGCACTCTGCATTGAACCTCTTTGGAATCCCTTTAAAGTCCTTCCTAGTCTTGTAGCCTTTGGAAAACTGGTGAAAGTTTTGGACCCTGTTTCCATAACAGGTACACACACCCAATCCTGGATATATTTTCAGGGATTTAGAACTTCCTGAAACCCATCCATGAAACTCCCGTGATTTAAAAAACCCCTGAATGCAGTTGATGAGATGGAGCCTGCCCTTCAGAGGACAGTGCACCCCACCTTTTCACCAGGCCCAGGATCTCCCCTTACCCTTCCCATTGAAGGTGTGTCCTTAGTGAAACAGGATCGGTGCAACTGGCCCTCGGCAGTCTTCTCCAACCCTGACACAATTCTCTGAGAAAATAACCATACTTTGATACAACATTGATTTCAATGCTTTGAGAAAATAACAGCCTCCTTTTCTCAGCCCCTCTCCTTGGGCCAGGCACTGGGCACACTGCTTAACAGAAGTCATCCCATTCCATCACGCCAGTCCCCATGGAGGTCCATACTGTCACCCTCATTTTAACAGATGAGGAAACTGAGGCTTGCCAGAACCAAGTAACTTGTCTGATAAGTTATAATAAGTGGCTGACCTGAAATTTGATCCCAAGGTCAGTGGCTTAGAAACCTGAGCCCTAACACACAGTGCTCACTGTTCCTCCCCGCCTCCCCCCATATGGTCATACCTCATATATCTTGGTCCACGGTGGTGGAGCTGTGGAACCTTTGGTGTGGCAGTCAAATGAATATGCCCTTGCATATTTTTGAAATACAGCTCAGAACAGAGTGTTTGGTTTGTTCGGTTCACTGATGAGTCTCTTTTGCTAGGTATAGTCAGTACCCTAAATGCTTGTGAATGAATGGATCCGTTCATTTTACATGACTGAGCTCAATATCATCTCCTTCAGAAACCTGCATAACCCCCTCTCTGAACCCAACTTCTTCCATGAGCTCCCAACATAAGCTTGTGCCACTGTGTCCTCTTATTCCATGGGGGCAGATTTCCACTATGTGGGTACCCTTTCACAAGTTTCTCAAGAGTTGGGGACTTCGTCTTGCTCCTCTCTGCAAGTCTCTGAGAAATAATAGGTACTTAATAATGTCCACTGACTTCAATACACAGTTGTTACTGTGCCACTCCATAATTAGGCTTAAATGGTAATTCCTATAAACGAGTATAACTAGGATTGCATTTATAGTGTTAGACCACATTTTAGCTTTTCTGGGTGAACTTTTTTTTTTTTAAAATATCTATAATTTGCTCCCAATTCAGGTGCCATTTACCTCTGTGTCAATTTCCCTCTACAGTTACAGAGCACTGACTGTGCTCTGGGCACCAAATGTGCCACGTTAACAGACATTAGCCACCATCTTCTTTGGTTCTGGGCATGAATGCAGCTCCCCTGGCTAGAGGCAAGGCCCATGCCCTATCTTCTCTAGCTCCATGAGTGAGGTCCCCAGTTTTCTGACATCATTACTGTCATCTTGCTTATCTCTGTCAAAGTTCAAGGGAAAGAAAAGCCCAGAGACCTAGAAGTTCAGCCAGGTTAAGGAGAAATGGAAGATTGTACAGAAAACTAAGGTTGAAGCAATAGTCTTCTTGAGCCAATGAGAAGAGAAGAAAGTGAACATTGCTTGAATTCCTGCAGTTCGCCAGCTACTTCACCATCTTCATTTCCTTGGAATCTTCTGGCATCTCTAAGTAAACCTAGAGTCCTGGTAGCTGAACTTCCCCTGATTGAAATAGAGGAATTCAAACCCAGGATTGTGTGGCTGTAGAAACCAAGGCTTTGCACTGTGTTCTACTCCATTTCATGTGTATTAGGGAGAGACTCTCTGGGCATTTCTCTCTTAATATAGGACTTGCAGAGATAGAAGTTGCAAATTGGATGAATGTTCCAGATAAAATATGACAACTTGATTGCAGTGGGGAGAAGAGAGAACAAGGGGAAAGAAGGAAGCTCAGGCCAACAGCGGTGCCCCTGCAAATTCAGCCATGACTCTGATCCCTTAAACATGAATAATAACTAGTATCTTTTTGGTTAAGAGCTGTTGAGGAATGAACAAACAAAGTGCATATGAAGATTTTTTTGTTATCAAAAATCTAAAAAAAAGTATTTCGGAAGACAGGTGATTTGATTTGATTAAGTATTTTCCGCTCTTTCCATACCCTAAAATGGGTGTTTGTTCCTACAGATGATTACTCAAAGTGTCACTTATCTCCTCAGTTGAAAGGAAGGTGTTGGTGGTTATAAACCTTCCTGTCCACTCGGGGGCAGCACCGAACAGTGCCAGCAGCCCTCAGCCACTCTGCTCTTAGGGAGGAAGCCATGCTGGCTTCCCTGGAGGAGGTCAGTATTCCATGTGCACCAGATTCCTTCTCTTTGGCCACATGGAATAGTGGTGGCACTTTTCAGTTGAGAAACTAAATTCAAACAACTGCAGGATTGTTCAAAGGAAGTGATTTTAAATAAATTCATTATAACAGTGGTTTAGTTGGGGCTTTGGTTTCCTTCTTATCAGCCTGACAGAACTTCATTCTGGAACTTTCTGTGGTGGGTTGGATAATTCATGTTTCTTAACCAAGAAAGACACTCTTTGGTTTTACTGAGGTTGTTCAGGTTGAAATCCATGTGTTCTTCCACCCAAGGGGCAAAGAGCAGCCAGTATTCTTTTACCTTCTTTATTGTTAATTCTTTTGAGTATCTACAGGTTGTAGGATTGTGTAAGAGGCAGCTACATGGGAAAAGGTGTTCCTGGCGTCTGGCTCTGAGGATTTGTGAACACCCCACAGTAATACTGGTGTCTTAGAGACCCCTGGCAGGATCACTAAGATGTCTGCTAAGAGCATCTTCAGTCAATCTTGAACCCCATTTCTTGAGTGAATCACTGTGCCCCTGTCCAGGCCTCATGTCCACGCCTCCTGTCCACACCAGAGTCTAATCTATAATTTTGACAAAATTGAGCATTAATTTGTTAGTTTTTTGTCCAACCTAGAATGCTTTTACAATAAAAAAAGGGGGGATACTCTTAATTTTGTCGAAATAACGAGCATAAATCAGAACTGTCTATCATGGGGGAACTGTGAGATGGTCACCTTGATTACAGATACTCTGCACCTTTCATTTTTCACCTCAGATGAATCCAGATAAGATTTATATGGCACTGTGTTTATTTGCTCATTCATTTAACAAGTGATCATTGAGTGTTTTCTTTGTGCTAAATTCTCTGTATTGTTTTCTCTTCACAAAAACCTTGTGAAGGATCTATTACTATAAGTATTCCCATTTTTACAAATACAAAAACAAAAAACTGGTACTTAGTGAGTTGGCCAAGTTCTCAGTATCTATAAAGCAAAGCTGAGACAACTCCAGGCTGTCTCTGTTCTTGAGCCACATGTGCCCATTGGCTGTTTTTGAGCCTCTTTGTGCCATTGATATTTGTCTTTGGCCTTTTGGTGGACTTATTCTGAGAGAAAGTATGACTAGCAGCTTGGGAAAGAGGTGCCCCGTCTGGTTAAGGTGGCTGGGATGGAGAAGGCTGAACTGGACTCGTGTTGTCAGATTTCTTCATTTTGTTTTGAAGTTCACTTTGGAAACTTTCCAAGCTGCTCTTCAAGAGCCAGTCTGTTGGATCCCAAGGAAGCATGTGGCTGCTTCTCTGCCCCTTCTGTCCTGGGAAGGTGCTCTTCAACTGACACGCAGCTCAGAGGGATCTTGGGATTCAGGCAGGGATGAGGGACCACAGCTTAGACCATCCAGCAGATCAACAACCTTGGTGACCCAAAGCACAGCAGATACCACAGCCACATCGCCCTCAAATATCCTGTGAATTTTCATTGGGATGTTCGCTTGTTAAAATAAGCATATAAAGTCTGGGCTAGGCCTGTAGCTCAGTGGTAAAGAGCTTGCTTAGCATGTGTAAGGTACTGGGTCCAATCCTCATCACCACATAAAAATAAATAATTAAAATGAAGGTATTTTGTCCATGTACAACTAAACATTTTTTTTTAAATAAAAAAAAATAAGCACATAATACCTTTTAACTTAAAGGGAAAAAATGCATACTAGAACTTTAAGAAGGAAGACAGGGATGTGATCTCAAAATACCACTGGAAGAGTGTACAGGATTTGTGCCTAATTGTACAGGATTGCAAGTGTGTATAGGATTTGTGCCATCTCACAACAGCATGTGCCCTTCAAGCATTTCTGGGTTTGGTGCTAATAATAAATGCTGTCAGACCTCAGATGACTTATTACCACGAAAGTACATTTTTCCTCATTTTCCTTTCTGAGCATTAAACATTGTGCTTCTTATTAGAAATGAGTATTTAATTCATTCTCTCTTCTTTTCCTATGTGCTTAACAATAACAGATCTCACGGGGTTTAACAGCATTTCTTACTGGTAAACAAACAAAAAAATTCTGTCTTAAATAGATCATGGAGCTTGGAAATTTTTGTACCCATTAGCCCTATAATTGTATTTTTAATAATCTGTTCTAAGGAAAAATATCTGAACACACTATGCAAGTTAGGCAAGATCATCCCTACATTTTAAAATAGTAAAAAACAGCCACAGTTTAATTTTATCACAATAAAGGATTTGCTAAGTGAACTAGATGATTGAATATAATGAGGTAATTAAAAGTCATTAAGCACACCTTGTAGTAGCCCAAGGATTTTAGTATAAATTGATACAGATTGAGCAGGACGAGTGAATCATTTCCTGCCCTCCGATTTTGTCTTCCAGTGTTTCGCTGTGCGCTCTCTGGGATGGGTAGAGATGGCAGAGGAGGACCTCGCCCCTGGAAAAAGCAGCGTTGCTGTCAACAATTGCATCAGGCAGCTCTCTTACTGCAAAAATGACATCCGAGATACAGTTGGCATTTGGGGAGAGGTAAGCAGCACGTGAGAATAACGTTCATGAAGCCCAGGGATCTGTGAGGTATGGTACTGAGTGGCTCTGAGGTGTTTGTCAGGGTTGTTTCCCCATGAAGGTGCATGCAGTTGGCATGGTATACCCATGTGGCTTACTGTTAGCACTACTATGTCCCAGTAAGACTAGGACCCTGGGAGAGAGCATTTCTCAGTGGCTAAATGACAGAATCCCCCTGGAATCATCAAATCCTCAAAGATCCATGGGTGAACTTTGGGGGCCCAGAAACCTTCTAGATTTTGCATATGAAATGAGTGTGCTGGTCTATTAAGAACAGTTTTCTGGAGAAAAGACCCAGAGCTTTCTCAAAATATCTAAGGGGGGATGTGACCCCCCACCTATAGGTGCAAGAAGGTTGATGCCCCCACTGTGAAATTAGACTGCATGTCCTTTGATAGCACCGTCTTCTTTATTTACAGTATGAAGATCCACATCTTGCCTGAGTTGTGGAATTGTGACCTGTGTATTCCTTCTCACTTTGAACAAAGTCATTCCATTTCAAAATGTTAGTTGAGAAAATTTCAGAAAGGAAAGGAATAAGTAAAAACACCAAATTTGTATAAAAATCATATGAAAACAGGAAAAAGCCTCATTCCTGCTGTGGTTCTGAGAGCTGCAGAACCAGCATTGCAGAAGTACCCTAGGATAGCCTTGCTGCATGACTGTACCCTGCTCAGTCCACGTCCAGGGAACACTGGTGGCCAGTTTGCTTTCAGGCTGGGCCGTCTGCAGCTCCACTCACGCTTCCTCCTAGCAGGAGGAAGGTGGCTTCCCAAGGCTTCCTTTGGTGGAGTCTGTCTGCCTTTATATGGGCCTGCACTGTTTTGCCAGCCAGAATTTTAGATCCCCGGCAGGAGGAGGAGAAGAGAAAGAATTTTCTTCTATCCAGGAAAACCCTGTATACATTTTCAGTGCTTAACTTTCACATCTTCTCATTGTTTTTTCTTCTACTCACCATCCAAATAACCAGGCCTAAGTGGTCCACCTTGCTCCTCTCTCTCCTTCAGTCAAAATATGGTCCCTCCAAAAGAACAGTCCTTAGGTAGGATGTAGAAGGAAGGTTGTTGTGATTTACACCGACATGGAGTGACTAACATGGAGGTACCCTGGGTCTGAGACGGGATGAACCTGTTCCAGGCTCTGTAGCATTTCTTCAGCCTCATCAGTCTCCCCAATTGTATTTTCTGATTTCATCTGTAAATGGGGTCACTGCTCTTTGAGGAAGAATTTAGATCATTCTGACTCTCAGCTGTAGAAACACTGGCCATAGCTTAACTGACTGGCAGAGGCATTGATACACACCTTCCTGCCATCCTGGACATCAGCGCAGAATGCACTTTGAAAACTTTTGATAGGAATCAAAAACATCATTGTCAAAAATGTTGTCAAAGAGCAGTTGACCCATCTCACTCTGGGGTTTGAAGACCCACTAAGAAGCCTCCCTGCCTGCCCAGAGAGGCCTCCCTAGTTCCAGTGCTGCAGAATCTGGGCATCCTGCAGAGAGACGATCTTTAGCTGCACACCAGATGGTTGATGGTTCCTAACCTTACGCCTGAGGGCCGGAAATTGAGTAGTCTAGTGTTCCTGTCCTATAAGAGCCACCGTGTGGGGAGATGACACCAAAGCTTACTGACCTGAGTGACTATGATAAGAAACCTAGGTGCTCCCTCAATCTCGGCGTGTACCTGTCTCAGGTTCTGCATCACCTCCAGCAGGTGGCTGTATGCCTTAGTTTCCTCAAGTGCTAGTTGGAGATAGTAAACCAGCCTTCACGGGGCAATTTAGAGAGTTCATGATCCAGTGCATCTCAAGCACCCAGCACAGTATCCTAGACGCAGGCAATGGGCGTATAGACATGAAGTCATTGTCAGCACTGAGAAGTGTCACAGACCGTGCCTGCTGCTTGCCAGCACATCACATAGACATGTCATAGTGTAAAAGTGGAAGACAGACAGAGGTGGTTGTGGATCAGGGAGGGTCTTCAAGTGGATGGATGCCTGTGAGGGTGTGGCCAGAAAAATGGAGAGAGAGGGGTTATTAGAGGGGCATAGAGTTCAAAAAAGAAGATTCTCCAGGACATCACATTAACCCATGTTCTTAAAGATACACAAGTGAAATAATTAAAAATAAAAGCCAACTGGAAATCAAGCTGGGGACTCATGTCACAGGACTTGGGGAAGGAGAGAGAAATTGGGGATGTAAGGGGGATTGGGAAAGACTAATGAATAGTTTAGTCTGGGAAAACTGTTTCCCTCTTCAAAAAACAAATTCTAGACCCAAGGGCTTCTTTTGAAAGTGGCCCTTGATCACCAGGAACATGATGGGAGAGCAGAGCCCCCATAAAGATGACAGGCATTTTCTCATTGAATCCCAGGGCAAAGACATGTACCTGATACTGGAGAACGACATGCTCAGCCTGGTCGACCCCATGGACCGCACAGTGCTGCACTCACAGCCCATCGTGAGCATCCGTGTGTGGGGCGTGGGCCGCGACAATGGCCGGTGAGTCCCTGCGCTGGCACATCCCTGTCCCCTTTCCAGTTGTTTTAGCTTAACCCTGAAGTAAGGTCTCGAAACACTTCACCAAATATGAAACTTGACTGTAAACTCTGTTTATACATGTGACAAATGACATCGCATCTCTATTTCCCTGCCCCATAAACCCTCCAAGCCTCTTCCCTTCCTGGTTTCTGTACTTCAGCCTTTTATCAGCTCTGGCTCCTGCCTTCAAGTTCTGCATGTTTCTCCCCAAAACCACCACCACCACCACCACCACCATCCTCCTCCTCCTCTTCCTCCTCCTCCTCCTCTTCCCCTCCTCCTCCTCCTCCTCCTAAGTTCCCAACTCAGCCTGTGATCTGAATCCCTTAATTTTTCTCTTCTCTATATTGTTCTCTAATCAACTCCATTCCATTCACTTGAGTCTTCATTTCAAAGCACTCCTACTGGCTTCTCCTTCATGGAATGCTTGCTTGATCACAAACCTTTGATCATTGAATCATGATTGTTAGGAATGGCTTGGGGTGGGCTAAACTTCTTTAACACTTGAACTGTCTAGTCTTATCAAAATTGCACTGCATGGGTCCTTTATGTGAAACTATGCTGAAAGTGAGCTATTTACACGGAGTGCTTCTTAGCTGTGCCGTGAATTTTCTGTTCTCCAAGATGACTAGAAACAAGGGCATTCTGATTTTAGTGGAATTATAGACCTCATACTTGGAGACCACTGTTAAGTAATTGGGCTACGTTAAATACCCTTAATTCTTAAATAATTCAATGGTTGCCAGTTTCCAAAGTAATGGAGGATCTCCTCGTGTCCAGGACAAGCATGGATGATTAGGTATTGTGGAAATCGTTGCTTTGTTGAAAATGTTTGACAGCATTGCAAAAGTGGGTGGGAATCCCAGATGACAGAGATGGCTCTCCTTGGCTGATGGTTTCGTTCCTGAACATTCTGGCTTTTTATCAGGTCATCTGGTTCTCTAAGGGGGCAGGTCTGCCAAGTCTTATCACTTACTTTCTCTATGAATGCTGGGCATTAGCGAGTTTGATGATCCTCTGATCCAGTTCCAAGTCCTCAACCAGAAAGGAAGTATTATGACTAAATATTCATCAGCTAAAGAATGAGCATTTATGCTGGAACCAGATGTGAGGAATGGCCTACCAAGGAGAGGACTGAAGTCGCTCTCCGACTGCTGATTGGGTCAGCCTTCCCGGGAGGCTCAGTGCATCTTGGAGCTTTTTGTCAGTGTGAGTGCTGACATCTGGGGCAGGTGCTTCAGCATGGATGCACCTGCCCTTCACTTCCTTGGCAGAAATGTAGCACTGGAGTTGGTGCCTTGACATCAGTTGATTCATTTTACAAAGAAACTATCTGGTGGCATTTGGTCATCATCAAAAACGGTTAGCCTTGGTAGAAGGCTCTGGATGGAAAATGCTTGAACCTTTCCTGGTTCCTACCCTGCCCCCACTCCAATTTTGTTCTTAAGGTAGAGATCATTATATAAACAACCAGGTGTGGCTGTGTGTTTGGGTTTTTTTGTTTGGTTCTTGTTATGCTGGGGCTTGAACCAAGGCCTCCAGCATGCCAGGCAAGTGCTCTGCCACTGAGCTACACCCACAGCCTGCGTGTCGATTCTTAAGGTTACATTATGTGTGGATTTTATTGATGTCGTTTCCAGCCCATCCCAAAGTCTTTAAAATGAGTCCAGATGCTCCACACCTAATGGGGGGGGGATGATTCAAATTCAAATTGACCAAATTTTTCAAGCTCTCTGAGCCTCATTTTCTCTCGTCTGAGAGATGAGGATCCTAACAGGGACCACAACACATGTTTGTGTGTGCCAGTGTGTGTATGTGATAATTGGCACTATGATAGAGACACAGCAAATGCTTAATGAATGTTTGCTCTTGATTTTTTAAAGCAACATACACTTAGCAGATGCGGCTAATTACATGACTTCTTTCTGAGACACCGGGAGCAGAGGAGGAATCAGACTCTGTGGAGGCTTCAAGGACAGTGGATGATTTGAGATAGAGGGCGAGAGGCTTTGCAGACACTGATGAGTGCGGTTGTCCTACAATACGGGAAGAGCCACTTGCCCCAAAGAAATTGGAGAAAATTAGGCAACATTGTCTCGGTTTCATTTTTCAAATGTGGGCCAGATCACTCCTGGTTTTAGCCCCTCCTCCTCAGGGTTAGCAGATGAGCATGCTTTAGTAGTACACTTGGGGCTCTCCATAGGTTGTCAGAACCCCAGCAAGCTCCTGTGGTTGTGGGGACCCTTGGGCAGGATTGCTTATGAAGCAGTAAATAAAAGAAGCATGTTTGTCAGTGAAAGCTTCTGTTTCTCCCCATGGATTCCCGAGTTTTCATCATTCCCTAGAAGAAGGGCCTTTGTATGCCTGCTTCTTTTTTTTTTTTTTTTTTTAACTTTCCTTTGCTTTTGAATCTTTTTTTTTTTTTTAACAGCAATTTACAAGAGCAAATTCAATTTGTAATGCTGCAAAGGAAAGGGGCTTTCACTTTGCATGAATAAAACATAAAAGTGTTTCATTTTGCTTGAGAAAACGAGCCCATTTCGAATTCTCTTTTGTAACTTTCTTCGCTGAGAAAATGGAATCTCTTAGGGGATTTCTTGATGTGGTTAAAGTGAATAAGAAAAGTCTGTATCCCAGACTCAAGAAGGGCACAAAAACCTTCCTCAAAATCCAGCCTACTTCATGGAGCCATGTAATTTCAGAATTCCTGAAAATATATTGGTTTAGCATCTTTTTCTTAAAAAAAAAATCTTTCTAGTTGTAGATCATCACAGTACCTTTATTTATTTTAATGTGGTGCTGAGGATCAAACCCAGGGCCTCACACGTGCGAGGTGAGTGCTCTACCACTGAGCCACAACCCCAGCCCCTAGCATTTTTTTTCTTAAGACTTTCAACGTGTTTTGATGTGCTTTGAAAAAATTCCTCATGAAGAAGTTTACTCAGGATAAGGAGGAGATCCAATGGGGGTGTAGCCCTACTGTGCCCCCAGATCAAATTGGAGAAACCTTTTATTACAAACACACGGTGCAGGGAGTTGTGGTCACGGCTGACGCTGGTCCCTGGGGGTTTGGGTCTGGCTGAAGTCTGTCCTTTCCTGGAGTCTTGCCTGTTTCCATTATGGGGGTTCTTGGAGCCCGCAGCTTTATTGCCTGGTGAAACGGGGTTGCCTCCTCTCACCTGGGCCACGCCATACGTTAGTTCCTTTTGATCACAATGAGACAAGGGTCAGGGCTCCTACAGATGGGGGCTGTATAAGGGCTTTTGTAGCCTTGTATTTCCAGAAGCAACTGATGGATGCCCTCTGCTATGGGAGGAAGGACTTCCTCCTTTTAACAGCTGGCCCTTTGCCTTGGCCACTGGGGCAGATGACCAGAGTGCCATCTCTCACCTTGTCTCTATGGGCCTGCCAGGCCACCATCCCAAGTGTGGGCAGGAGGACATCACCTCCCTCTTTCAAGGGCCCATCCTGACTTCCAGCCTCAGCTCTCTTACTCAGACCTTGGAGAGCAGCTTTCTCCTTATTCCTTTTTAGAAGTATTGAAAGCAAGCAGGTGTAATCTCTGAGCCTAGGGGACTTTGAACAGATTCCCCTTTCCCTTGAGGCAGAACGGGCACCAAGATCCATGTATCCCTTGACCAACAGGTAATAGAGTGTGGGTGGGTGGGATTGTTACTGGGATTTTCCCATGGGGCTTCCCTATCAGGGTACCATGAGGATTAACCAGATCAGATTTTGATAGATTTTCCTTGAAGAAAAAAAATCAAAAAGGTCTCTAGGGTCACATGGGAGACTGGGTTAAACTCTGTATGGCAGGCCCTTGTACTCTGGGACCTCCCTCTCAGAGGCTTTCCTGTGCACACTTCCGAGCTGCTGTCCTGGCTTGACTAGAATCCTTTCTGTGTTAGTCAGTTGTGTATTATTATAACAAACTATCTGAGATGATTAACTTAAAAAGAAGAAGTTAATTTTGGCTAACAGTTTTGGAGGTTTTGTTGCCATTGCTTTTGAACCTATGACAAGTTAGTACATCTTGGCAGGAGCACCTTTTGATGCCTGGGAAACAAAAGAGAGAATGAAGAGGGGTCATGGTTCCAATATCCCCTTCAAGGGCAGTCCCCCATGTGACTAGAAGACTTCCCACTGGGTTCCACTGCCTCCCAGGAGTACTGTGGGCTGGAGACACAGCCTTTAAGACATGGATCTTTGCGTGAGTAGAGGCGCTATGTGAAAAGGCAATCTATGAAACATACTTTGGAAAATGCCGCTCTAGTAAGTCAACTCATTAATTTAAATTAGTGGCAAAACTAAATTGCTGTTTTTGTTTATTAAGAAAAATTTGATTTGTTTTAATAAATAACTATTATAAGTGGAGACCCCATTGGGCCCGCTATAATGAAGATAAAATTCCTTCATAATTAACAGCAGCCATCAGCAACCATCGTGCAGAAGTGCTTTTTAATAAGTACTTTCCTGTTTGAATGTTTACCCTGTGGTATTGTTTGTGTGTTTAGTTTGTAGAGCAAAACTCCTTTTCCTAGAAGGTATTTCATACATCTCTCTTCTGGTTTTGATGAACAAGTTTTAATTAGATCTTTCTGTATAATAGATTATTCATAAATTTCCAAATGGATTAGCTTTTTTGGAGGCTGGGGGGAGGTATGGGGGATTGAACTCAGGGGCACTGGACCACTGAGCCACATCCCCAGGCCTGTTTTGTATTTTATTTAGAGAGAGAGTCTCACTGAGTTGCTTAGTGCCTCACTGATGCTGAGGCTGGTTTTGACCTTGCAATCCTCATGCCTCAGCCTCCTGGGCCACTGAGATTACAGGCACCTCGCCCGATCCATGAGTTAGCTTTGACTTGATAGTTTTATCTGATTATGATCTTAGGAACTTTTATATTTAAAATGTAGTTAGTCTCCATTGTCTTGAATTCTCTTCTCCTAGGACATGCCCAA